AGTCAGCTTATCTTGCGGTGATAGTAAGAATAGTTTCATGAAGAAACTAGGCGGCAAGAAAGTGAATAAGGTTAAACAGAATAAAAACATTGATCATGGAATGATAAATGTTAATCATGTAGAAATAAAAGGACATCAAAAGATAATGTTATTGTGGTGAAAAGAAAAACAAAGTAAGAAAGAAAATTTCCATATTAATATTTGAGCCTAACTTGGTAAAAATATAGGTATAAACATGGTGGATGGATTCGGGTTTGATCCTACTTGCTTCTTGTTTTTCAATTGACTCGATACCATCCGAATAAAATCGTGTTTTGGTCAGAGAGGATTTATCTATGTTATGCATAGGATATTGGGGAATGTCTCTTAAAAGAGATTTGAACGCTTGGTCAAGGATGAGATTATTAGGCCACAAATTTTATGCGTTGGTTGTGTCAAAGGACAAATGCTAAGAAACGCAATTTTGAGGCTAGTCAGTCATTTGGTTTTAGACTATATTTATACCGACATTTGTGGTCCATTTCTTATTGTAGCTCGTTTGCAGCAAAGATATTTCATTGTCTTCATTGATTGGTTCTCAAGGTATGATTGTGTACTTAATCCACCATAAGTCCGAAACACTTGATGTGTGTAAAATCTATTAGACTAAAGTTGAAAGTAGTTGGTATAAAGATTATGGTTTTAAGATCAGACTAAGGTGGTGAGTTTTAATAGGAGAATGATAAGGAGGGTGTAAATAGTAGTATTTTCAATACATACTTAAAGCGTAGGTCATTGTGCCACAATACACCATTCCTAGCTTTCCTGAACAGAATAAAGTTGCAGAAAATAGAAAGTGTAGGGATATCTTATAGAGATATAGTTATATAATGCAGATATTAAGGAGCTTAATACTCACATTACCAATGATTATTTTATTAGACATCTTGGAAGATTAAAGAATTCGAGATTTTACTGTCTTGTAAACCTATGGAGATTATTGGAATATGTTATGCATATTTAATGAGAGTGGTGAGTCCAGTGGGAGTTTAAGATATTGTAGTTTCTTTTTACAGAAAGGTATTTTCAGTATCTATTCTATTTATTCCAGGCTTCATTCCACTTTCTTTAGTGGTTTCAGTTAAAGCTCATATTCCTACGCTTTCAATTATTTCTCCTTTGTAGACCTTTCTTTCAGTTTCCAATCTAATTCCTAAGCCAGTTTAGCTTAGGAGATTTTCTAGAGCTTGGAAGTATGCTGTAGTTGGTAATTTTGAGATGTCTGGTGGATATAAGACAAAAATTGATGTCCAAGTGCTTAAGCAAAAGTTAAGTGTTGATTTCTTTGAGATTTTCTCCAACTTAATTAATGGACTTTTTAAGAGTCATTCTTTCATTATCACTCATTTATGGATTAAGTAAGTTTTAAAGCAGTAGTATCCAAAATTTTAATACAGTGGTTACTAATTGTAAGTTCAAAGAGAATGTTATGGATAAATGCATATACCTCAAGTTCAGTGGGAGTCATTTTGTTTTCCTTGTCCTATATGTTGATGATATTTTGCAAGGTAGCAATGACATTCATGTGATACATGATATTAAGAATTTTATGTAAAGTTTTGACATGAAGGACATGGGTATGCAAAGTATGTCCTTGGCTTTAGAATCCACATAGATCATGCTACTGAAATATTTGGACTTTCTCAAAAGGCTTATATTAATTAAGTATATGAAAAATTTTATCGGTGACCAAGCGTAGTAAGCCTATTGACATAAAGTTCATTTTCAAGCATGAGAAAGTTAAGGTTTAAGTGTCTTTAAGATTTCCCCATATGGTTTCAGAAAGATTGTTACATGTCCTCTCACTAAAGGTATTTAGCCAAAGATAATAAAGTATTTATAAAGCACGTGATTCGGATAGGTGTTCGAGAGTCATTATGTTATGATGTCCAGTATTTCTTTTATATATGCTACATTATAGTTAGTTTCTTTACGCCTTGTGGTGACAGTTATTTTTCCTCCAGTTTACGCCTTATGGTGACGGTTATTTGCATCCAAAATAAAGTTATGATGCATAATTATTATTCTTGATATATATGGTTTATGCACGTGCTATTATGTTTGCCTGGAGTGATATTTCACTCATGAGGTTGTTTGGGTTAGATGTGAGATTGGCACTACATCGATAAATCCAAAATAATTATTAAAGGTTGTCTGAGAGTGATAATTCACTCATACGGTTGTTTGGGCTAGATATGAGATTGACACCATATCGGTAAATCCAAATATAAGATGTGTCTGGGAGTGGTATTTCACTCATGAGGTTGTTTGGATTAGATGTGAAATTGACACCACATTGGTAAATCCAAACATAAATATTAAATTTTGCCTGTGGGAGTTTTTTGACACTCCATGAGGATAGCTTGGGCTAGATATGGGATTGGCTCCGTATCGGTAAACCCTTACACTGAACAGAAGGTTGGCGGTTTGTTGTAATATGTTCAGGTGACATATCGTGATGGTATGAAGTAGGATGGATAGCTTGGGCTAGATATGGAATTGGCTCCATATCGGTAAACCCTCACACTGAACACAAGGTTGGTGGTTTGCTGTAATATGTTCAGGTGACATACCGCGATGGTATGAAGGAGGACGGATAGTGAGGTGTGCGTTTAGACCCCATGCAGTTTGCACATCTCATGAAATATAGTAAAACCACTATATTTGCTTAAATCCTAGATAGAATCAGTTTTGAGACCATGGAACTGTTTAGACTAATATATTACTTGTCTACGCATTCATGATCCACTATTGAGGAAATTTATGGAGGAGAATGTTCTAAAGTTTCAATCTATCAATTTCGATAATTGTGTTTTTTAAATAAAAATGAGTGGCCACTCGACTTTTATAAAATGTGTTGCAATCCATAGTGTCATTTTATAAAACTTAGAGTGCATGGACCAAGTGGGAGATTGTTGGAATTTATATATATATATTTAAATAATAAAAATTATTTTATGGTCCTATGTACTACGTTTTCTAAAATAGGATTATAATGTGATTATTGATACTTGATGAATTGGGTTGTACTTTCCAATTTGGTGGTCTAATTGGGAGTATGATTTTATACCGTTGGATTGTGATTTTCCAACTTATTTGGTGTGATTTAATTCTAACCATTGATATCTAAGTTTCCATGATAGGAAAAGAGACTTAGATATGCTTGTTTGTAGAGCAGCCGTCCCCCCCTGTTGTTGTTATATATAAGGGTTTTAAAGCCCTTATTCAGTCCTATCGTATCGACAACTCTTATAAGGGGGTAAAACACTCTAATATTTTATAGGAACTCACAGAGGATTACATGGATATTCTAAAGGTACTATGTGGTTTAATTATCAATCAGGTACGATATTTAAATTACTCTTTAAAGTATTCTTGATTTTTACATTGATTAATTTAATTTAAACCCAACACATATGCCCGGGTTATTTTATCTATTGGCATTAATAAGGCTAAAAAGGGAAAGTACCTATTATAACCTGCTTTGCCATATTTTTTTTCAGTAAAAAAGTAGATGGGAGACACATACTTGTTTGCAAAGAAAAACATGATTAAGTTTGTACTTAATATGCATCTTACCTCCACCGGCTCCGATAAGATCTTAAATGATTTTTTCAAAATATTGAGTAGGAACCAACGTGGGCAAAGCCAATATTTTAATTTAGAAGGGGCACAATTTTAAAAATAATAATAATAACTAACATTAATATAACACGCAAAAAGAAGAATTTTAAGAAGAAAAAAGAAAAGAAAATTGAGATATATTTGAAAGAAAAAAAAATTAGAGTATGATTCAAAAAGAAAAATTTGACATTTTTTAAATTTTTTTTTAAGGAATTTAAAGGACAAAAGAAAGAAAAAAGTTAAGATAATTTTAGAAATTAAAAATTTAGGAAGCGATATATAATTTTTCATATATACTAATTTTTTTTTAAATTAACTATATATTTCTATTGGACGGGACCAGATCAGGAAGGCACGTGCCCCCCTAGGCCTTAATTGGCTCCGCCCTTGGAAACCAATTCTTCCTGTATACAATTCATATCTGCACCGCTATTAACTTAAAATTATAGCATTAGTAATAGTAAATTCTTGACCTATAACCAAATTGATATGAATATACAATTTTTAAGTAACTTGATTAAGCAAATTGAGATAATCAACTGTTTCTTTACCATTACTTACAGGATTGATTTTGGGAAAATAAATAGATTCAATATTAATCTTATTCTTTATTAGCTTGAGTTCTAAATCCATATTTGATTGAAGGATTTTTAATCCTGAGAAGGATGACAAAAATAATCATTTTCATTTTCATTAGACTATTCTATGGGATGTCAAAAACACTTGAATGAGAATATTATTTTGTAAAAAAAAAAAAACACGTGAATGGAAAAAGAGGACTTAAGATAAGAATCTCGTAAAGGGAAGGGAAATGAAAGGAAAAGAAATCAAAAGGAGGAGGAAAAGAAGAGAAAAGAAAGGAATGTCACACATCTCTTCGGACCTTTCTCTACTTTAGAAAACCACAGCACTGCACGCTTATTTATTTTGTTATTATTATTATTTTTAATAAGTGAATTCATATTTTATAAAATCTAACAAAATAATTCTTTTGTTTCTTTTCAGTGTTATCCTTCTCAAATAAAACAAGTATTTATCAGTATTTTAGAATATTAAAAATATATATATGCGTGTACCAAATTTACAATGAAAGAGCATACATAATATATATAGGTTTCTATAATGTTAAGTAAATGTACAGTAATTAATAATTTACAGGTATTTTTGTTGTTCTTTTTGGAAAATGTCATTTTTTTTTAAAAAAATTTATTTTTGTTGATTAGTCATTTACAAAGCGAAATATGAAATTTCGGCGAAGGCAGGCTATAATCGTAATTTAATTGAAAACCGTTGGCAAATTGTGAGCAGGCAATCTCCGGAGTATATTAAAAAACCTAGTTGTACGTTCAATAGGAACAAATTAACAAGAACCTCCTTGGTGGCTATTATCGGTGCTTTCTTCTTGATTTCTAGGGTTTGTTGAAAAGCTGATCGCGTTCGTTTGCAGATTGTTTTCTCCATTACAAATTCGATATCTGTAAGTCTTGTGCCGTTGTTATGAATTTTTTTGTTGAATGAAAAGCCCATTATTGGTTCTTTTTAGATTTGTTGTTTTTACTCGTTTTCTGTATTTTGTCCATTGAAAATCGAACTAGGGTTTTTTCTTTTTGATATATTATATGATGATTTTTTTTATCTATGGGCTCTTTCGTTGATCAAATCAGGGTTTTTGGTTTTGGAGTTCCCAAAATTGAAATCTTTATGCTGTTTGCTGAAATGTCGAATTTCAGATTTAGATTTTTTAGATGTCCAATCTAATTAATCAATTATCTACTACTCCTTATGCAATTGATTTTTACACAAACTCGAAGTCATATCTGGTTTTTGCACATCTGGTTTTTGCACAAACTCAATATATGTGTCTGTATATATATATACACACCTCATGTTTATATATATATATATATATATCTAAGCACGTAATTGAATTATTGCTTTCGGGTATGGCATGTAAGTTCCATTGTGGGTGTTTGGTTATAAAATATCTGTGTTTCAGATCAACTATAGAGTTATATATGCAGTTAGATAAGATTTGCAATTTCTGATATAAAATTCAAGTTCTTTCGATAAATACGTTCTTGATGGGCATTAAGTGGTCATGTTGCCATAATTCTGGATCTCTTTTGATTACTTCATTGCTATTGTTTAGATTACCGAATGTTGCGTCAGTCATGATGATGATACTTGTGTCCATAACCTGAAGAAGATGCTTATTCTTAGAGAGTTGTTATCTTTATCATTTATTCTCATGCCATTTGTTATTAATATACTTGTTATATACTCTTTTTTCTTCTTTATGGTTGAAGCCATGTGTTATAAGTTTTATGATTCAGTTTTTTGCTTACTATAATTGTATTGAATGTATGTATCTTTTTGTTATTCATATAATATTTGCTTGCTGTACAGTATCTGTGGTATGGTATGCTATTCTGATTCTAATTAACTTGTGTTTTTCTTCTGTTAATTCTATCTTTTGTTGGGGTGTATTCTGATTCTATTATTTTTAATGGATTTATCAGGCATGAGTGAATGATCTAATGGAATCTAAAGGTGGAAAGAAGTCCAGTAGTAAATCCTTATTCTATGAAGCTCCCCTTGGATACAGCATTGAAGACGTTCGACCATGTGGTGGAATCAAGAAATTCAAATCAGCTGCATACTCCAACGTAAGTTTCTGTATATATTTAATCTTGCTACTAATACTGGCAATAGTCATCAAGGACCTGACTGTACTAACATAATGATTTTATTTTTCCCATTTGCAGTGTGCTCGCAAACCATCCTGATATTCCTACATCGGCTTCCTGACCATGTTTTTTTGCGTTGTTAAATAAACTGTTATTGCTTTAGTTTTGTACCTTACTTCCCTTTCTTTCTCCTATAGACCGTTTCCTTGCTTTCTTCCTTTGTGCCTGTGATTATCTCTTTTAGTCAACATGGCCATGGCTGTCTCTGCAATCGGATTTGAGGGTTACGAAAAGAGACTTGAAATTTCGTTTCATGAACCAAGCATCTTTGCTGATCCTGAGGGAAAGGGCCTACGAACTCTTTCCCAAGCTCAGTTGGATGAGATTCTTGAACCTGCTGAGTGCACTATCGTTTCATCTCTGTCAAATGGCTATGTTGATTCTTATGTCCTCTCCGAGTCAAGCCTCTTTGTTTACCCGTACAAAATCATCATCAAAACCTGTGGGACAACAAAATTGCTTCTGTCAATCCCACCCATCCTGAAGTTGGCTGATGCTCTTTCACTCACTGTACAATCTGTGAGGTATACCCGAGGGACATTCATTTTTCCTGGAGCTCAGTCCTATCCTCATCGTAACTTCTCTGAAGAAGTCGCTCTCCTTGATAGCTATTTTGGGAAGCTTGGTTCAGGCAGCCATGCTTATTTAATGGGCAGTATCGACAAACTGCAGAAATGGCACGTGTACAGTGCTTCTGCTGGATCTGTATGTTCCCCTGGCCCTGTATACACACTTGAGATGTGTATGACTGGTTTGGACACACAGAAATCTTCTGTTTTTTTCAAAAGCCAATCCGTCACTGCAGCTGTGATGACCAGTACTTCTGGTATAATGAAGATACTTCCAAATTCAGACATTTGTGATTTTGAGTTCAATCCTTGTGGTTATTCTATGAATTCTATTGAAGGGCCTGCAATTTCTACCATTCATGTTACTCCCGAAGATGGTTTCAGTTATGCGAGCTTTGAAGCAGTTGGATATAATCCAAAAGTTGTGAACCTGAACCAGCTGGTTGAGAGTGTGATAGCTTGTTTCCTACCAAGCGAATTCTCCGTAGCTGTGCATGCTGATGTTACTGCTAAGCTGCTTGAGCGGACATGTTTGCTGGCTGTAAATGGCTATTGTCTTCAAGAGAAGCGCCCTGAAGAGCTTGGAATGGGTGGTGCAATCGTCTACCAGAAGTTTGTCAAGACTTCAGGCTGTGGATCTCCTAGATCTGTTCTGAAAAGCTGTTGGAAAGTAGAGGACGAAGAAGAAATGTATTAGTTTTAAGGGTGCTTTATCAGTATGTGATAATGTGTTGTCTAGTCTATAATAAGTTGGGCTCTATATCCAAACATGTTATGTCAAAGTTTGGTTTTATGTCCAAACTTGGGATTTGGTCAGCTGTTTTGTGTTTAAACAGAAACTTATTAACGTGGTTATATGTGTTATATATCGTTGTTACTTCGGTTTGTTTATGCTTCATTTCTGATTGTATGTGTGTGAGAGAAATTGGGTTCTGCTCAGATGAACAAGGTTGTGTGTTGAATAGTGTGGAAAATGATTTTTAGGCTGATTAGCTTGACTGGCAATATTTTGCAAATACAGGTCTGTTTGGCTAAAGCTTTTGCTTCATGTTTTTGCTTTTGTTAGTGTATTGTGCAAAGCAAAAGCACGAATCACGTTACCAAAATTGAGGCCAAAATTGAAAGCGTCAAAATGATGCTTTTGTTTGTTTATGTATTGTAGCAAAGTTTTTTAAAATAAATAAATAAATAATTTTAAGAAGCCATTCAATTTTTTAAACTCGTTACACTTTTTATTAACCATGCTTTCACATTTTTGCTTGGAAATTTTTTGTAACAAATTTATGTTACTTTGAACACACTCTAAAGCGAAAATATTGCTTCTGCGGTGGATCAAAGCAAAAACATTAAACAACTTAAGATTCCATTTTGTAAAAACGAGACCAATCAAAGTGACACTTCGGCCTAAGTATCATTGTCGTTCCAAATAAATATATCCTACCCAAGTATCGTTACAGTTCAAAAGTACCTTAAACTTAATATGTGATAGAAATACTTTTAAATAAATAAATAAATATATGATGGAAACTCAAAATATGCTAGACGTATAGTTAGTTATGTATTATAAATTATGGAAACTATTAGTTTTTCAAAAGGATAGAGTTACAATTTATAATAAAAGAATCGAATTAGAATTTTATTCTAATTATTCTCTCTCTTTCAACTAAATAAATATATGATAAAAACTCAAAATATTAGAAACTCGTTGTACTTTTAATAATATATAAATATAGATAGATATATATAGTATAGATTTATTTTAATTGTTCTCTCTCTCTTTTAAATAAATAAATGATAAAAACTCAAAATATTAGAAACTCTTTGTACTTTTAATAATATAAATATAGACAAATATATATAGTATAGATTTATTTTAATTATACTTTCGCTGTTTTAACTAAATAAATTAATAAATATATGATAAAAACTCAAAATATTAGTATACATGTTTTTTGTAAAAAAAAAAAGGTTTTGGGACGAATTTGATACTTTAATGGGGCTAGGAGGGTAATGTCCCGGGTGAAAAGGGTAAGCATATATGTATGAGTGACCCGTTGATGAAAGTTCATAAACGCATGTGGTGGACTCCTATACAAGTGTTGGGAGTTGGTTTTGCCTTGACCCGAGGGAGAATGGACAGCAACGGACCACTCTAGTTTGTTTTGAAGATGTTCAATGAAATGTCCGAATGATAAAATTGAATTTGAGTTTTCAAATTGGAAAGGGTTATTAAACAAATTTATTTTGTTTGGTTTAGAACTTGAAACTCAAAAGGTTTTTGGATTACTCAGCATAGAAATACTTTCATTCTTATGATGGATGCATTAGTACAACTTTGCTTTTAGAAGTTTCTACTCACATGTATAAAAGCTCTTGCGGCAATTGTTAGAATTTCTCTACTGGGTTGTGAGCTCCCCGTCATTTTCAGTTACCAAAGGATCAAGGGAAGGATTTGAAATTGCTGATTGTCTTATTTGAAGACTATATTGCTCATGTATTTATATTTTTATCTTGAGGAATATGATGTAATTAAGGTCAGTTTAGTATTTTATCGATATGCAAGAAGAAATCTGGTTTTTATGTGTGAGTTGTTGGACTTAAGCTTAGACTATACTTATATTATAATGTATTTTACAAATTTAAACTCATTCAAGTTTAACTCTTTAGTTAAAATCAAACAAACAACATAAATTTCAATTTCAATTTTGCAAAAATAACTAGTTCTGGTTTTATGTTAATTTGCAAAAAAAATATAAACCTAACATTTGGTAAACTTACTTTCACAAACCGCAATTTGGAGAGGTTAGGTTTCTATTTGTTTAAATATTCCAATTTTCAAAACTGTTTTCTAAAACCTTATTTTGGATTTTTTATTTTATTTTATTTTTTATTTCTTGAAAATTATATAAAAAAACTTAAAACAAACAAGTCCCAAGTGTCTAATTCACAAAATAAGTTTCTAATATGGGCTAGTTACCAAATTTAGAAAGAACGAAAAAAAAATAAGGTGATACTTTTGATATTTCGAAAATATTTACGTGCATGAGACTGGTATATGATCAAGTCACATAATAAAACGACGACGCTCTCACGATCTGTGCGCTCTTGCTTTCAATATGTGTGGCTTAACTTTTGTTGTTTTCGTGTTCTCGCATTTGGTCCCGCATTCGCACTTTTTTAAACGGACGACATCCGTGCGCGTTATTATTCTTAATATGTGTGATTTAGCTTTTGCCGTTTTCGTATTCTCGCATCCTTATTCACCATGTGTGACTTAGGCGTATGAGTTATTAAAAACATCCGAAGGGAAATATGCTTATTTAAAAAAATAAAATAAAACACGTGAATGGAAAAGAGGACTTAAGATAAGAACCTCATAAAGGGAAGGGGAAGGAAAAGTAATCAAAAGGAGGAGGAAAAGGAAAGGAAATAAAGAAAGGAGTGTCACACATCTATAATAAATCTCTTTCGACTCTTTTCTACTTTAGTCCAACCTACCCACTGGCATACTTGAAAGAGGATTAGAGAGAGAGACTGTCGACATGGTTTAAGGGCTCACAACTATTTATTTTGTTATTTATTTATTTTTATAGTAAATGAATTCATATTTTATAAGATCTAACAAAATAATTCTTTTTTTTCTTTTTCTTTTCAAACAAAATAAGTATTTATCAGTATTTTAGAATTCTTTTCCTTTGCATCTTCTCGTTAATGCATTAATTTCTTTTCACTCTTTCATTTTCAAACCCATTATAAAAAAAGAAATGAAATTCAAACCCATTGTTAGCTAGACTACTATTTTCTATATATATATATATATATATACATATATTTTACTCGAGGGCAAGGTAGCATGCATTTTAGGTTCATTTCAGTTATCAATAGCAATGCAATATCCAAGTTGGGACTAGCAGCTCTTGTCTATCATATTTGGACCGAGAGGAACAACAGAATCTTCAAAAGAGAACACTAAGTGCAAATTCACTCATTCACCAATTGTTGGAGATAGTTCGAGCAAAGCTACTTTCCTCTACAATCACTGATTCACTTCACACCACCAGAATTGCTTTGGAATGGAATATACCTGAAGCAGTGATTCGTCCACCTGCAAAACCACCAGACTTGAATTGCTCAATCTCTTCACCACTGCTGGATATTAGCTCCCTGATCACCGAATTGTTGTGTTGATTAATTTCACACATCACTACTGTTGGGCTACTTTGTATGTATACATTGTTATTTCTTCCCATTGCGTCCTCTGGGCTCTGTTTGTAGCTTTAATGAGTTAGCATAGGGCTAACTTCTGGGCTGTAACATTCTTAAATTTTAATGTTAAATTTAACTTCCAAAAAAAAAAAAATTTTGGTTCATTTCTTTCCCCCAACATATCTTGCGTTGCTATATTAAACTAATAATTTCAACAATTGAAAAAAGTGAGATGCTTTATATTATTTAGATTTGTTTAATATTTTATTCTAATATACTAATGATATATTTAATAAAGTAATATTTTTGATATTATTTTGACTTTTTCTGTGTTGTTCCATTAAATGTGTTTGATAACGCAGTTTAAATATCACTGAAAAATGGTAAGTTGCGTAAATGATATTATTTATCACTGAATGCTGAACAATGAAAATTTAAAAAAGAGGAGTGTTATTCACGGTCGCACACCTGATTGGTTAAGAAACAGAAGTTATAATTAATCACACTTTTCTTTTTTTTTTGGAATTATTAAACTTTAACTTTAAGACCAAATTACCCTTTTAAATTATTTCCTCTTTCTTTATACCTAATAACATTTGTTCTTTCCTTTTTTTACATATATTTAACTTTAATTTTTTTTTTATTTTTTACTTTTAACAATTGTCTTCTTTTTTCTTTCTTTCCTTCCTGATTGGATATATATGGTCATATATACTTCATTCTTTACTTTCTTTTTTCTTTTTTCTTTTTATGTAATTTAATTGAAATAATGGTACGAGATTGAGTTTTAATTGAAGTAATATTATAAAATTTGAGTTTTAATTAATATATGAAATAAGAGAAGTATGGTTTCCCAATCTATTCACAGTATGGTTAACTACTATATATATATATATATATATATATATATATATATATATATATCTCTCCTCTTCTCTCTCTATCTAGAGGAGGAGAAACAGTGAGAAACCATTGACACGGTGAGCATATATATATAAAAGAATAAAGATTACACACACACACACGTAAAAGTAGGACAGAAAATAAAGAAGAAATATAAAAGGATAATTTGGTTTTAAATGTTGAAGTTTTATAGTTTTAGAAAAATAGGAAAGAGGCATTAATTACAACTTTTATAATTGAGTTTTTCAACGAATCAGATGTGCGACTGTGGATGCACAGTCAATTCACAGTCGCGCAAGCACTCTTTTAAAAATTATAATTTTTTAATTACTACTTAAAAACTTCAACACTTAAAATTCAGTTCTTAAAATTTTAGTACTTAATTTTCAGTTTTATCAAACAAAAGCGGCAAGAGCGGATCCAGGAACCAGGAATTGTTAATGGGTGGGTTAATATTTCTTTAGGTGGACTAATACGCGTAATACATTTTTTTTTTTTTTTTTTTTGAGCTGGCCTAAAATTGCCTATAGTAATTTTTTTTTTTTTTGGATCTCAAGCCCACCAAATCCACTGGTCTTTCATATTATATTATTGCAGTAATTGTTAAATTATAAAACAATAATCAAATTTATATTTTTCTGTTGTAGACTTGTAGTATATACTTAAATTATACTTATACATTATGCTATGTAAATGCCTGAATCCTACATTTTTTTTTTTTTTTGGTATCAGTGTATTTGCATTGTATATTTTGGCTTAGCTAAGTATTTCTAAAAAAAAAAAAACCTCATTTAATTAGGTTTTTATGAGAACAACTTTATGTTTTTCAAGTTTATTAGAGAATTGAAATTCTAAAAACAGAAACCAGTTCATTTGTTTAGTTGTTCTTTTTTGAAAAGTAAATTAGAAAATTTACAGGTGTCTTTGTTGATTTATTTTGGAAAATGTCTTCAAAATGAAAATAAGTTTTTAAAAATTGAACTCTTTTTTTCTTTTTCCTTTTCCTTTTTCATAAATTCTGGTGGACAATTTAGTCATTTTACAATGCGAAAGAGGAAATTTGGGCGAAAGTAGGCTATAATCGTAATTTAATTGAAAGCCGGTGGCAAATTGTGGGCTGGCAAAGGCAATCTCCTGTGTATATAAGTTGATTTTACGCTCATTATTATTGGAACAAAAATTAACAAGAAGCTCCTTGGTGGCTATTATCGGTGTTTTTTCTTGATTTCTAGGGTTTGTTGAAAGCTGATCGCGTTCGTTTGCAGATTGTTTTCTCCATTACAAATTTGATATCTGTAAGTCTTGTGCCGTTGTTATGATTTTTTTGTTGAATGGAAAGCCCCATGTTAGGTTCTTTTTAGATTTGTTGTTGTTTATACTCGTTTTATGTATTTTGTCCAATGAATATCGGACAAGTACTTTTCTTTTTGAAATAGTACATGATGATTTTTGATATATGGACTGCTTCGTGGATCAATTCAGGGTTTTTGGTTTTGGAATTTCCAAAATTGAAATCTTTATGCTGTTTGCTGAATTCGAATTTCAGATTTTTGATTTGTTAGATATACAATCTGATTAATCAATTATCTACTCCTTTTTGTTGAATGAAAGCCTCATGTTAGGTTCTTCTTAGATTTGTTGTTGTTTTTACTTTGTCTTGTGCATTTTTTCATTGGACTAGGGCTTTTATTTTTGATATATTATATGATGATTTTTGATAAATGGGATCTTTCGTTGATGGCTTTTTGGGTTTGGAGTTTTTAAAATTGAAATCTTTATGCTGTTTGCGGGATTGTCTAATTTCAGATTTTTATTTGTTAGATAATCTGATTAATCAATTATTTACTCTTATGCAATTGATTTTTACTCTCTTTTTCAATATTATAATTGTTATTGTATTTTGTTTAAAGTCATAGCTGATTTTTGCACAAACATAAAGGTATATATGTGTGTCTATATACACCTCGTGTATATACATATGCTATCTATGTATTTATATAAGCACATAATTGATTTATTGATTTCTGTAAGCTTGTCAAAGAATTAGGTTATGCTAAAATGGATTTCTTTCGGGTATGGCATGTAGGTTCCATTGTGGATGTTTGGTTATAAAATATGTGTGTGTTTCAGATCAACTACAGAGTTGTATATGCAGTTAGATAAGCTTTGCAATTTCTGATATAAAATTCAAGTTCTTTAAATAAATACATTTATGTATTCTTGATGAGCATTAAGTGGTCATGTTGCCATAATTCTGGAACTCTTTTGATTACTTCATTGCTATTGTTTAGATTATCGAATGTTGCCTCAATCATAATGATGATACTTGTGTCCATAACATGAAAGAAGATGCTTATTCTTAGGGAGTTGTTATCTTTATCATTTATTCTCATACCATTTGTTATTAATATACTTATTATATATTCTTTTTTCTTCTTTATGTTTAAAGCCAGGTGTTATATGTTTTTATGTTTCAGTTTTTTGCTTACTATAATTGTATTGAATGTATGTATGTTTTGTTATTCATATAATATTTGTTTGCTAAGAAGTAGCCGTGGTATGGTATGCTATTCTGATTCTAATAAACTTGTGGTTTTCTTTCATTTATTTTATTTGTGCTATTGTTATTGCATTAGGGTGTATTCTGATTCTATCATTTTGTTTTATGGATTTATCAGGCATGAGTGAATGATCTAATGGAATCTAAAGGTGGAAAGAAGTCCAGTAGTAAATCCTTATTCTATGAAGCTCCCCTTGGATACAGCATTGAAGACGTTCGACCCAGTGGTGGAATCAAGAAATTCAAATCAGCTGCATACTCCAACGTAAGTTTTTGTATAATAGCATACTTAAATCATGCTACTAATACGTTGTTAGTCATTAAGGACCTGACAGTACTAACATCATGCTTTTATTTTTCCCATTTGCAGTGCGCTCGCAAACCATCCTGATATTCCAACATCAGCTTCCTGACCACGTTTGTTGTTAGCGTGGTTAATAAACTGTTATTGCTTTAGTTTTGTACCTTACTTCCCTTTCCTTCTTCTATAGACCGTTTTCTCGCTTTCTTCCTTTGTGACTGATTATCTCTTTTAGTCGGCATGGCCATGGCAGTCTCTGCAATCGGATTTGAGGGTTACGAAAAGAGGCTTGAAATTTCGTTTCATGAGCCAAGCATCTTTGCTGATCCCGAGGGAAAGGGTCTACGAACTCTTTCCAAAGCTCAGTTGGATGAGATTCTTGAACCTGCTGAGTGCACTATCGTTTCATCTTTGTCAAATGACTATGTTGATTCTTATGTCCTCTCTGAGTCAAGCCTCTTTGTTTACCCGTACAAAATCATTATCAAAACCTGCGGGACAACAAAATTGCTTCTGTCAATCCCACCCATCCTGAAGCTGGCCGATGCTCTTTCACTCACTGTACAATCTGTGAGGTATACCCGAGGGACATTCATTTTTCCTGGAGCTCAGTCCTATCCTCATCGTAACTTCTCTGAAGAAGTCGCTCTCCTTGATAGCTATTTTGGGAAGCTTGGTTCAGGCAGCAGTGCTTATGTAATGGGCAGTTTCGACAAACTGCAGAAATGGCATGTGTACAGTGCTTCTGCTGGATCTGTATGTTCCCCTGGCCCTGTTTACACACTTGAGATGTGTATGACTGGTTTGGACCGAGAGAAATCTTCTGTTTTTTTCAAAAGCCAATCCGTCACAGCAGCTGTGATGACCAGTGCTTCTGGTATAAGGAAGATACTTCCAAATTCAGACATTTGTGATTTTGAGTTCGATCCTTGTGGTTATTCTATGAATTCTATCGAAGGGCCTGCAATTTCTACCATTCATGTTACTCCCGAAGATGGTTTCAGTTATGCGAGCTTTGAAGCAGTTGGATATAATCCAAAAGTTGTGAACCTAAACCAGCTGGTCGAGAGTGTGTTAGCATGTTTCCTACCAAGCGAATTCTCCGTAGCTGTGCATGCCGATGTTACTGCTAAGCTGCTTGAGCGGACATGTTCGCTGGATGTAAATGGCTATTGTCTTCAAGAGAAGAGCCCTGAAGAGCTTGGAATGTGTGGTGCAATTGTCTACCAGAAGTTTGTCAAGACTTCAGGCTGTGGATCTCCTAGATCTGTTCTGAAAAGCTGTTGGAAAGTAGAGGACGAAGAAGTAATGTATTAGTTTTAAGGGTGCTTTATTAGTATGCGGTGTGTATCCAATTACGTCTTCTCTAGTCTATAATAAGTTGGGTTCTATATCCAAACACGTTATGTCAGTTGGGTTTTATGTCCCAACTTTGGATTTGGTCAGCTGTTTTGTGTTTAAACAGAAACTTATTAACGTGGTTATATTTGTGTTACCTATTGTTGTCTTTGTGCTTGTTTTTCTTACTACTATGGTTTGTTTCTGCATATCTGATTTTGTGTGTGTGCGCGCGCGTGTGAATTTTGGTTCTGGTGGGCAACACCCTTGTGGGGTTGGACCATTGGGGATGATATTTCCCATCAGCTTGGAAAAAATTTCCAAAGTTTTGGTAGAAATACACCAATTGGCATGTGAAAATGTGAATGTTAGCGTGGAGTTGGAGTTTTGTGGCCTCTACCATGTATTTATATTGTGTTGGCGTTGTCCGGCTGGCTTGGGCAAGTGCAGTTAAGAGTCCTATGGAATAAAGGAACCTCACATGGACTTTTTGAAACATTAAATCAGATCAAATTAGACCAATAATTTGGTTTGAGTCCTATGAAATATGGAACCTTTTATAAATGACTCGGTTAAGATTTGATGTTCTACAAAATCAAATTGAACCGAACTGTCTACAAAATCAAATCGAATCGAACTGTTTATAAATTGTATATGTATTTATATATTTTGTATTATATAAATATTAGAATAATAAGATTAGCCTTTTAAGCACTCAACTATATATCATAATATATAATATAAAAAATATTAAATATAATATATATTTTTTATTTTACACACACACATTTATATATATATATATATTATATTATATTATATTATAAAAAAAGCCTAGAACCGTGAACCGAACCGAGCCAAACTATTTTCTCACGATTTAGTGCGGTTTGGTTCCATTGGTTTCACGGTTCGGTTCAGTTTCATTTTTTATGGAACCGTTAGAAATAGTTTGGTTACAAAATATTCTCAATTTGGTCCAACCCGAACTGTGTGTAACCCTAATGTTGGGCCGTTAGCAAATAATATTGCCTAAAGTGAGTGACATAAATGCAGATTTTATGATAGGTCTACAAGAAGTATAAGAACTATAGAATTATAAATGATCACATTAAGGAGATGGTTGGACTAATATAAATTGGAAATAAAATGAGATAAAATTATTTAACATTGTTTAGACATGCGCATAAAAGATTTTTAGGCTTGTCGGTTAGAAAAAGTGACATTGAGGATAATATTGGAGGAAGGAGAAGACTAAGGTTAATGCGGTGAGAGTAATATTAGGAAAAAAGGAAGACTAAAGTTAATGCAAGTAGAAGTTACTAAAGAGAAGCTATTTCTTTGGAAAGCTCCTACTAAGATGGGAAATTCCCCGAGAAAGCTGCTAGTACCAGGTGAACACATAGGGTTATGATAGCATATCAATTGATTAAGGGTATGACTTTAAATAGAGTGGAATGTAAATATAAGGACATGCTTGGTTTGTAATTCTGAAAATAGTTCTCAATAACTTAGAAAACAGAAAATTGTTCTCAAAGAACAATCTTTTATGCTGCATTTGGTGTGCAGGAATGGAATGGAATGGAATGCCCATTCCAGCCATTTCTTTGTTTGGTATGTAATTGAAAGTGGGAATGGCCATTTCATTAGAATGAAAATCTATTCCACAACAAAACCTATGTAATGGCCATTTCATTTCCAAGAATTTTTTTTAAAAAATCAACATCCCCAAAATCCCTCGTGTTCCAAGTTCAAAAACAACAATTACTTTCCACCATAACCACTTCCGCCTTTCATCACCACCACTATTACCACCACCACCGCCACTATTACCACCACCACCGCCACCGACTTTCACCATTGCCCACCTTTTTCCACCACCGCTTCTTGTCACCCCATTCCCACCACCTCCATCGCCTTTCACCACCGCCACCGCCACCGCCACTGCCATCACCTTTCACCCCCACCCCCACCGCCATTGCCTTTCACCATAGCCACCGTCTTCCACCGTCACTGCCTTTCATCACCACTACCACCTTCCACCACCGCCACCGTCTTCCATCGCCACTACCTTCTACCGCCTTACACCACCATCACCACCACCACCGTCGCCTCCACCACCTTCAACCACCACCACCACCGGCATCGCTTTCCACCACCTTCCATCACCACCGCCGCCACCGCCACCGCCACTGCCACCGCCTTCCACCATCGCCACCACCATCGCCACCTCCATTATCTTCCACCACCACCACCACTATCACCTCCATTGACTTCTACCACTGCCACATTTACCACTATCTCCTTCTACCACAATCACCACACTACTGCCACCGCCTTCCACCAACACCAATGCCGCCTTCCACCACCGCTGTCGCCGTCTTCCACCATTGTCACCACCACTGCTTTCCAACACCATCACCTACACCACTATTATTTTCCACCTCCACCACCATCCATCACCGCTACTGCCGCCATTTATTTTTAATTTTTTTTAGAGAATGTCATTTTGTTAATTTAATTTATTTGTTACTAAGAGAAATATTTTGGAGAATTCAATTTAAAATTTATTCCATTCACCAACTACCGCCACCGCCACCGCCACCGCCTTCCACCACCACCGCCACCAGCTTCCACCACCACCGCCGCCACTGCCTTCCACCACTGCCACCACTTTCCACCATCACCACTACCACCTCCACTGACTTCCACCACCACAACAATCACCTCCATTGGCTTCCACCACCGCCACCTACACTACTACCGCTTTCCACCTCCACCACCATCATCACCACACCCGCCACTGCCACCATTTATTTTAAATTTTTTTTAGAGAATGTCATTTGTTAATTTAATTTATTTGTTAGTAAGAGGGATATTTTGGAAAATTGAATTTGAAATTTATTCAATTTTAAATTTTAAATTGGTCCAACCAAATACTAGAATGATTATTATCATTCAATTCCTACATATTTCATATTTACAACCAAACAATAGAAGCAAACACAACATTATAGTTATTTAAAAATATGCATTTTTATAACTGAGTTTTCAGAAAATTAAACCAAGTAAAGCTTTTTATTCTCAATTTTTTTAAAATTAAAAATTATTTTCATAATTAGAAACCAAACAGATCATGAGATTTATGTGGTGGATTCCAAATGATTGATATTTGAGATTAATGGTGACGAACAAGCTAAGAAATTATAAATTTTTATATGCTATTAGAAAAAGTAGAATCAAATTGTGGCTGTAGTTTAGTGGTTAGAATTCTACGTTGTGGCCGTAGAGACCTGGGCTCGAATCCCAGCAGCCACATTTAAGAGATCTTGTATACATCTTTTTTTCGGTTCTATTGGCATTCCTTCTCTGTTTAGTGCTCATTCAATAATTCTATATATATAAAAAATGAATTCCATGTCAAATGTTACCAAGTATGTTTTGAACTAATACTTGTATTTAAATTATGGGAACTAGAATATGTTTTGAACTACTACTTACATTTAAATAACGATTTTTTCATATTATCTGGTCTGATTTTTAATTTGCATTTCTTGTACCCAAATTCTCATTATTTAAATAATGAGAATTAGGTACTTGGCCTTTAGTTGGACTAAATACGATGTAGTTTAGTGATATCTCCCTTAACCTTTCAAAAAAATAAAAAGTGAGAATTTAAGTTCTCGCTTCCTAAATCTCACAATATTATAAACTTAGTTTTACATTGAGGGTTGAATTTGGAGTAAAAAAATATCACTCGGAACTTAATTTAACTTTTTTTTTTTTCCTAATTGGGTACTCACGGAATTTTTCGATTTTGCGAGGGCATTTTAGTCTTTTCTTGTATTGCGTGCCGGACACCACGGGGTGTGCAGGGTGTGTCTGAGAGTTGGTTTGGGCATTTCATTGAGTTTAGGATTCTTGAAAATGCATTGGTTACCATTTCGACATTTTTTTCGTTTTTTGGGTCGGACGGTCCCGGGTGGGATCCGTTACCGAAATTGTTACGTACGGGGGTTTTGGTTGAGTTCATTTGCATCACATCTATTTTTTATTTATTATGTTTCATGTGGATGTGATTTAGTGTGTGTGCATATACGTGTGTGGTGGTAAATGAATAATAATAAAAAAAAACGTCAAAAAGATTTTGGTGGGACCCACCACTAATTCCATTAAATGGTCAAGAGACCACATTTGGTCTCCATTTCTTCTCTCTCCCGTAAGCTCTCTCTTTCCCTTCTCTTTTTCTTTTTCTTTTCTTTTCAATTCTCAAATCTCAATTAATCTCTAACCGTTAGGAGATTTTTGGTACCGTTTGCGGCAAAACGGAGAGCTCGGTGAGATCTACAAGTTGATGTAAGCAATTCATCATTTGGTGCACCATAGGAATTTCGAGCCTAGGGCTTGGATTTGAGGATTTTTCTTTACTTTGAGGTAGGGGTGTTTAATTCACAACTTCTTAGATTTTTGTGAGTTATTTTGTGTAAATTGTTGCCTAGTATGCTTTAATTGTGTTGATTCCTTTAAAGTGACTAAATTGTTGTATGTGGAGCATATGATTATGTGTATTAGTTTGTATTGTGTGAGAAAGCATGCTAAAATGTTTATATTTCATGCCAATTATGTTACATGAGTTGAATTTTGTGACTTAGAAGTATGATATAAAATGTTGGTGATTTTCTACAAAGCATGTATATTGTGAATATATTTGATTTGCATAAAATGAAATTTCTTATTGGCATGGTATTTAAATGTATAAAATATTCATGCACTCATTGGGAAGGAAAGGAAAAATTGGCTTTGAAAGAAATAAAAAGGAAAAATTAGCCTTCGAAAGAAAAAAAAAATTAATAATAATAAATTAATAAATTTGGGAAATGGTTGTAGAAATGGGGAGTGATATTGCATGACATTGCATCCCATTTCATAACATATTCATTCTTGACTTGGGTTGTTGATATTGATATTGTGGTTATTTTTTTCCCGGAATGGTATGATCCCAATTCTTGAATAGTGTACCTTTTATAAAAAAAAAAAAATAGGTGTAACTTGTATAGTGTTATAATGGTAGAATTTGTGTAAATAAATATATTTCATGGACTGTAACTTAATGTAATTAAAGTAATTTCTTGTTTGGAGGAGATGGAGGAACGAGACATT